GTATTGCCGGCGGTGTCTCGCGCTTGCATGTGGCCGGTACAAGCATAGCTATTTGTTCACGCTCAAATTGTCGCGCTATCCCGGCACCGCAAGCGCACTAGTTTGAGTCTCGATGTCGCTTGCAGTCTTTTGACTGCAAGCGACATCTTATTACTTCTTTATATATAATATTTATGAAGAATGTTCCGTCTTTGTGAGTGCGGATTGCATTGCTGAAGGCAAAACGTTGATGATCTGTTCACACAATGAGGAATCGGACAAGGACGGACACCAAGGTTCAAAATCAACCTCGAAGAAAACGTTTTTGGTGAAGATCACAAGCGAATTAGCCAGACATTTTGATAGATGGGCCAACTGGAAAGACCAGCCTATAATCCTGCCCCTTGATGCAAACGCCGCCCAAAGTAAAATAGAGATGAGGCAAGCTACGGGGAGTATAAAGGAAAGCGCTTGCTCCGCGGACTGCACACAAACCAAAGCAGGCAATTTTCAGACGGAAAAAGATGGAGACCAGGCGTCTCAAAGGGTGGCGATTGATAGCGAGAGAGTCCAAAAGGCGATATTTCATTGTGGCTGTTTGATTTTATCAACATCATGACTTATAATAACGGGCTAAGGATGGTGACTTTGTCTGTGTGTGTCTGTTACGAAATTCGTCGAGCGTTCCAGTCAGCGTTCTAGGTCCAAATTTTGTATAGCGCATGCTACCTTCATAAAAGTCCAGCATGCAAAAAGCACGAGTAGATTCGTTGAGTGGATCCCTTAGAAATTGCGCGCCAAACGGGTCCCCTGGCTTCTGTATCGCAAAATTCGGTCCGTATCACCACTTTTTGCAGAGTCGTGGATGAGTTTGGTAAGCAAATGTGCAAGCGATGGAGTTTAGCCAGAAAAGTGGTCGAACCCCCACGATGGTTCGCCGCCTCAAAGTGGCGTGGGGGTGGCCCTGGGTGTCAGCTAGCTGCAGCCAGAGTTTAACCTCTGGCTCCCGGACGCCCAGCAAAGAGCGAACCGGGTCAGCTTCCGCCGTCTGACTAATAGGTCGTTAGGCGGGTCCCCACTCCACATAATGATGGTCAGCGATCGCCTGAATATGGTAGGCCTGAGCAGGCCTGGTAAGCCGACTCAGTGCCGGGGAAAAAATTTAAAACTCGAGCAGCAAGTAAAGGAATAAAGCCCTGTCATCAGACCCCGACTAAGGCGCCGGAAGGAAACAAGGCTGGTGGCAGGTTGCTCAGGGCGCCATTTGGATTGGACAAAAACGGCACACCTGCGACGACCCGCCATGGAGACTGCTTCATGCTCTGCACTTACAACGCCAGAACAGTCTCCACAGACGCCGACCTTCACGCTCTTCTCCACGCCGCAGGGCACATCAAGTACCACGTCATCGCCCTGCAGGAAACGAAGTCCAGGAAGCAAGACGTGCGACAGTTGAGCGATGGGACCCTCGTCATTCGTGGTGAGAAAGTTCCGTCGCGGAACGTGGGAGGCGTCGGCTTTGTCGTCCACCCAACGATCGTCCATCTCGTCGATTCGCTTGAGATCCTGTCTCCCCGACTGGCCATCCTTCGTCTCCACCCTCCACACCAGAAGACCATCAGCATCATCAACTGCTATTCTCCAACATCAGCAGCTGATGATTCGGAATTGGATGCTTTTTACGAGCATGTGGAGGAGGTCGTCCGCAACGAGAAGTCCTTCTACAAGTTTGTTGTGGGCGACTTTAACGCGAAAATCGGGATGAAACTAGAAGAGGAGTATAGGATCGGGAAATTTGGATTTGGGCTCCGGAATGATAACGGCAACCGTCTTATTGGGATCCTATCCGCCGCACGCCTGTTTCATGGAAACTCACTTTTCATGAAGAAAGAACAACGACGATGGACATGGGAGTCACCCAATGGAACGACACATGCGGAGATTGACCACATACTCACCAACCGAAGATGGTGCCTACTTGACGTATCGGTAGTGCCATCTTTCTGCAGTGGTTCTGATCACCGCCTCCTACGAGCGAAGGTACGATTCAGTCGAAAGCTGGAAAGGAAGATTTGCCATCGCAGCCCACGAAGGAAGGATGTCGTTTACGACGGTCAAAGGTTAGAGGAGCTCTTATCATGTTGTGAGTGGCCCATCGAGGAAGACCCAACGAAGGACTACGAGTTGCTTCTCAAAGGATTGGAAGCCTGTGGGTATTGCGCCTCAACAACTCGTGCAAGGAACTTGGATCGCATCTCAAGCACTACCAAGGAATTGCTCGATAGAAGAAGATCCTTGAGGCTGGATCCGAATGCATCTCACCTCGAGCGGTTGGTGGCAAATACCAGCTGCAGAACGGCATTGCAGGAGGATCTACGAAAGTACAGGCAAAGGAGGATTTTGGAAGCCGCTGAACAAAGACGAAGTCTGAAGAAATGCAGAAGGGACCTTTGCGACTACCACATACCACTGGGAGCGTTATTAAACGAAAATGGGATACCAACAACTTCCCGCCGAGAAATGGAATCGATCGCGAAGAGTTTCTACACCAACCTCTTCCGCTCATCAACACCCGTGCCAGACCCCGCTGTTCCCACTGGAGACACACCACCACGAATTCTTCCTGCTGAAGTACGCGTCGCGATCCAGACCATGAAGACGTCCACAGCTCCAGGACCAGACCATCTTTCCGTGGACCTGCTAAGAGCTGGAGGACACTGTCTACACGAGATTCTGGCGGCGCACCTGACATCTTATCTCCAGAAGGAAAGGATTCCCGACCAGTGGAGAACGTCAAGAACCGTTCTTCTCTTCAAGAAGGGCGAACGGGAAGATCTTCGAAACTATCGTCCGATATGCCTGTTGAGCGTGCTGTATAAGCTTTTCACCAAGATCATTCTCACTCGCATCTCAAGGACACTGGATGAGGCCCAACCTCCGGAACAAGCTGGATTTCGCAAGGGATTCAGTTGCATGGATCACATCCAGACGGTCTCGAGGGTCATAGAAGTTTGCCGGGAGTACCGATTACCTCTCGTCCTAACCTTCGTCGACTACGAGAAGGCATTTGACAGCGTCGAGTTCAACGCTATCCTGTCAGCGCTAGTCGATCAAGGAGTGGATCCGTCATATGTGAGGACATTAGCCAACTGCTACAAGGACTGCACTACAACGCTACAGCTGTTCCATCGCCCCCTGACCGTACCAATAGGGAAGGGGGTCCGACAAGGCGATACCATATCGCCTAAGCTGTTCACGGCGGCCTTGCAGTGGGTGATGAAATCACTGGACTGGAATGAGAGAGGTATACAAGTTGATGGGAGATTCCTCTCGAATCTTCGTTTCGCGGACGACATCGTTCTCTTCTCGAGCAGTATCATTGAAGCCGAGACGATGTTAAAGGAATTGAACGAAGTAGGGAAGACGATTGGACTGCGAATCAATCGGAAGAAGACCCAGTTCATGAAGAACGGCCTAATTGAGGATACGGAATTGAAGTTGGAAGGTTCCCCAATCACGGAGACCTCTTCTTACGTGTATCTAGGACGTTCAATGAACATGCAGAACGACTTGAAAGAAGAACTTAACAGAAGGCGAAGAGCAGCTTGGGCCGCTTACGGGCCTTTGAAAGAAGCCACCGACCAACTAACGGACCCTGCGCTCCGAGCTCATCTGTTCGATTCAACCGTTCTCCCAGCGCTCTGCTACGCAGCCGAGACGTGGGCTGACACTGCTGCCACGTCGAAAGCTCTTCGTACCACCCACAGAGCGATGGAGCGGAGTCTTCTGAAGTTTAACCGACGTACGCAACATCTTGCCGGACTTCGCAGTTCTGATTTAAGAAGTATGTCCCGTCTACGAGACCCAGTCGAGTATGTTTCGAAGGTAAAGTACCGATGGGCCGGTCACATTGCAAGAAGAACAGACGACAGGTGGACGTTAAGAACGCTGGAATGGATCCCTCGCGATGTAAAACGCCCTCGAGGAAGACCCCCCACCAGATGGGCAGATGTGTTCGTGGAAAGGATGGACCAGCTGAAAAATCAGCTGGAAGCGAATTTTACACCTAGATCTCGTGATCTTCGCCACCAACGACCGATACGAACATCGTGGTTGACGCTTGCGAGGGATAGGAACGGATGGAAGCTGTGCTGCGGCCCGCACGACACGTGAGGACGGGCCAACTAAGTAACTAAGTAAGTAAGTAAGTAAGTGGTCGAAAGTTTACTACATAACGAAAACGGCGCCAAAACGAATTGGTTGTGTAAACGGTCAATTTGCCAAGGTTCTAGCTAAGCGTTTGAGAAGATTTTCGCACAAAGATGTAGCTCACGGCAACTATTACCTTTATGGCGACTATCAAGCCATGACAAATCCAAAAACCTATCCAAATTTGCGTTTGTCTTCCTGCGAAAAGTTTCATCCACGCGAAATCACCAATCTCACGTGAAAAGACTTTCTAAATGAGTGGTTGTTTGCATTTTATTCTTGGTAGTCGGCATAGCGCGGTGAGTTCCAGTGCCACGATTTTACGAGAATGAGTAAAGCACATATTGTCGAGTCATTTGTAATTCAATATGCGTAGTGCACACTTTACACGTTAACTGACGAACAGCGAAACTAGAACCTGCTCATTTCCAGTGATTTCTCCTTGTTTTCTTGTTTCTTTTGTTTTAGTTGGTTATGCGATAGTCAGTAGAACGCATTTCTACATTTTGTTAGGCTAAAAGATGTTTTACTCGGAAGTCACTAGTGTGGGTGCCGTCGGTAATAGAGCTTAGTGTGCAATCTCACATATTAAGTCACAAATGACTCGAGGTTAGATAGTAGAGCCAGTGCGAACCTCAGCGAAGCAGAGGTGACGCACTAGTTTTCATATATCTGCAATGCCTGTCGTCTTTATGGTCTGGGAGTGATAAGCAATGTGTAAGCAAACCAGACATGTCATAGAAAGGGACAACAAGTCATTGAGAAATTCTTCAGTTGATACTTTTAGAGAAGTTTATTATATTACATCACTCATGGATAGCGGCGGAGATCAAGTTTCCCAATCGTCTTCGAAGACATCCACGGTATTTCTATTTTATCTAGTTGTAAGTTGTAAAGGGACGGACATACTTCACGCGACTGCAGTCGCGACGCAGTTTATCAAATCGCCAGAAGTGTGCAGATTTAGCACTAGCAAACTGCACATGCATAGTGTTTATAACTTACGTGGACTGATAAAATGCCCTATCAATGCTCTATCTTCTGTACATTTAGAATGTGCATACAGTGAGTTGAGGACATTGGAATATTGCAAAACCGCGTCGCGACTAAAATCGCGTAGAGTATGCTTGGCCCTTACGTAAACTAAGTACCCAGACATTGAGAGCGGACGAGCCGCGGCTTTTTGACCGAGCGGTTGCAGCTCGCACGGACCGGCCGTGAATGAACATTTGTCCCGGCCATAAGCGAGCCGCGGCTTGGTCGTAGTGGGCCACGGCTCTGCCGGACAAGGCCTCGGCCTACCGTAATAGTTCGCATTGGTTTCGCACCGCCAGGAGAGAAAATCTTAGCCAAGGTCCGGCACAGATGGTGTGGGGTTAAAATGGACTTCGTTATAGAAGTTAGAAGCAACGGGGATATCGTTTTTTATAAGCTTTTGGGGGAGGCATCAAATAAAAAAACGACGAACATGTCAAGTTTTACGAGTTGAACGTGTTCTTTCGCAAGCGCACTATGTTTACAGCGCACAGACAATCGCTCAAATTATCGCAGGGGCAGGCGGCCATGAGAGTTTTGAGCAAGCAGGCACCGAAAAAATAGTTCGCTGATTTCTTGCGGTTCGCTTGCCGAAATTTATATATATATATAACTCAAACTTTGTAAATGTGTTCGTTTATTTGTTCCTTCGTTATAGAAACGCCAGCCAATGAAACAATTGGGTTGAAACTTTGCGCACGTATCTATATTTTTGACCCTGGAGGTGATTTAGCGCTAATTTTTGCAGCGATTCAAAATTTTATTGATTTATTGATTTGTTTGCTTGCCTCCGAAAAGTTCAACGTGCTCTAACCAATCGTTTTGCAATACCCACTTTCAAAAGCCCCTACTTTTAATAAATCATTTTTTTAACTCTCATAACATGTAAGCAGGGCGGTGAAGCTCATTCTAACCTCAAGGTCGGCATACTGCGGCAGTTGGTCTCAACACGCTTTTGGCAAGTTTGAAAGTGTAAGTGAAATATTTTTGTTGGACTAATTTAGAGTCTCGGGTGAAACCGGGACCACTAACTAGTTTGGAATAATTTTGGCCGATTTTTAGACTAGCGCTCGGGGAACTATCGCGGTCTTTTTATGGATAGGTGGTTTTTCAATAGGTAGGTTGCGGCCCAGTGGCCGCAACTTATTCATTGAAAGACCACTTATTCTCGCGGACTTTTCGCGAGAATATGCAAAAATGTTGGGGGCCGCACGGTCCTTTGTGAAGGACCGCATTGCTCAGGGTACCTTTCGCTGAAAAAAAGTACCCAAACTCGGGTAATTAAATCATTGATGATACCTCTGCCACATAGAGTTTCGCATTTGCTCGGCATATGCCCAAAACTGCGTAAAAGAGTCCGAGCGCTTGCTGAAAGTTTGGCCAGCGCTCAATGGAAGAAATTATTTGCCAAGCGCTTGCAGAAAATGCTGTGTTGCTGCCCGCTGGCAGAATATGCGACCGTAAAGGAAGTGCCGGCCGCTAAAGATTTGACCGCGCCCCAAAATTCTGCTGAACGCCTGCAGAAAAGAGCGAGTTTGTGGACCGCCTGCTCCCGGCAATTATCCGAGGACTATCTGAGCACATGGCTCCGAATTTTGGCTGTGTGTATGCAATATTACTCCAAACTATGTTATGTAAAAAGTTCCAAAAACTTATGTGTCCTGATATCCGTTCGCGAATTTGTTGGTTTCTAGACCAACACCAAACCAAGGGTCGGTTCGAAGCATAAACATCAGAGTGTTCACTTAAGTCTTGGATCTCGTTAATTTAGACGGTACGGTAAAAACGATATTAGAGCGGTAAAAATCATATAGTAAAGAGAAAAGAAACACCAGTCATCTACAACAACTTCTTTATCGCTTCTCCAAAATACACATATATAAACTTCTTGTAAACCATGTTATAGTGAAGCTACAAATAATCAAAATCATGAAAACATAGAATTGAATGGATGTGCAAAAAATGAAAATCCTAATCGCGTTGCTTTACTATTCGTGCTTCTCAAAAACGCAAGTATGTGTTGCCATTTATCGTTTTTATGTTGCCCTCAGTCACCTTTCCCAAAGCTTTCCTCTGCCTCTGAAACATTAGGATATCGCTGAAGGGCCAAGTTTTATATGCATGAACGCACATTACTTCTTGTTTCCATGTTGTTTTCGGGCACCTCAGCTATGCCTCTGAAACATTCGGATATTGCTGTGACCAAGTTTCATATGCATAAACTTACATCACTCGGGGTCCACGAACTATCATTCTCCTTATTTTTTGATGCTCGCACATCCCTTTTGGAAGAGAAAGTTACGAAGATCAAATTAACTTTGATTTCACCATGTAGAAGGCTTTTGTAGGACCAGGTACAGATGTGTTGCTGCCGGTACTGCCGGTGCTGCTGCGGGTGGCGGGCTCGCTAGGCGGTCGAAGCATTCAACGAAGGGTTGCAGGTTGGCTGTGAGTTAATCAGGGACCGCGGGTCAGTCGCACTGGGACCAATCCTTCAAATTGAGGCCGCGGTTCGGCCCAACTTGGCCACGCGCTCAACACATTCACGACAGGGCCGATTTTTCGCTGACTGTCATTTCGGACCAAAGCATATTTCGCAAAATTGAGTTTGCGGAATATTTTTAGGTCACACTGATGGGCCCTGCAGTCTGAAGTGTTAATCTTTTGGGAAGTACTCTAAGAGGTGTATGAGGAGTTTACTCGGCTTGTCTAAAAAGTTTCACCGTAAACTAGCAAAATCAAAAACTTCGGAAAGCATACGACCTACCGGTGGGTCGTATTGTCCGAAATGGCAGAACACGTACGACCCACCGGTGGGTCGTATTGTCGTGAATGTGTTAAGGCCGCGGGCCACGGAAAGGCCTTTTAAGGCCGTGGCTCGCCCGCTCCCAGTGTCTGAGTAAGAAACATTGATATGAATACAGTAAGTAAATCTCAATTCAGTTACGAGCTGGTTGCATATGGGCAGTCTCTTAAAATAAGAACAATTGCGAAAGGGTATTGATGACTATCTCGTTGATTACCTTCTTTACGTGGAGTAAAATTGAACTTGCGCAAAAAGTGTGACATCCTGCCTCTCACCACAAGAGTTTAGTACAACATTGTATAGGAAGATAGTGTCACCGAGCTGAGTAGTCTGTGAGTAAAGACACGTAACAACAGCTTGCAAAAGAACTTTGAGTTTCAATTAAAATAGTGCGTTGTCTTGGCTTTACAGAAACTCACACCTGGCTCTATTTCTAATGTCTTTCCGCTCAGTAAAATATCGTTTTGACGTTTTTATGATGCTGTATCATCTTCACTGGGAGCAGTAAATAACGCGAAAAAAAGGGCTGTTCAACTTTGTGATCAAGTACGGTTATGTTTCTTTATGACGAAGACGCCCTGTAGATATGCTGTATTTTATGTACGCAGATTTTCTCATTCTCTCGTTATAGTCTTTGGAAATTGAAAGTTACCAAACTATCTCTTTTGAGTACCGTTTCCTCAGAAAGGCTTCCTGAACACTTTTCTAAATGGTATGTGAAGACACGTACAGGGCTTATCAAACACAGCGGGTGCACCAGCATTTACACTCCCGCGCAGCCATCTCGCTTGCACTCTGCAACTCTTTCGCATGCTTTCTGACCACTTTCTCACCACGAGAGTGGAGAATGCGGAGTTTCAATCAATTGGAAATGATCAGAGAATGTTTGCGATAAAAGGCAGGCGACCGAGCAAGGCGACGCGGGAGAGGAGATGCTGATGCACCCAACACTGAAATTGATAAACCCTGTATGCACGACATGCGCGACACGCATGTGCACTGGGGCTTCCGCTTTGCTTGAAATCCGCTCTCCATGTTAAACTTTCCAAAAATATTTTTCTTGACGACTGAACAAGTCGAAGGGATACTTTAAAGGAAATTCTAAGAGCGCATCAAAGAAACTTTCTCCTTTTGTTTTAAGACTGTAAGTGTGAACGAATAGAAGCAACATTTAGCAGCATCTAAAATGGCGTGCCCAAACATAATGCGCGAAAGTCTTTTTTCGCAAGTGCTGAAATGGCTTGAAACTAACGAAAATTGCAGCATGGCGCATGAAAAACGAAAAAAACACTAATTGCACATACATTGTGCCAAAGAGTTTAGTATTTTTGGAAACAGAAATCTTTGCGAGATAGCAAATAAGATTTGAAATTGGTAAATGAATTTACAATTGTTAAGCCAATATAAGGAACGACTGATGCAAGCTTTATATAATAAATAACCCCCTCAGTTCCCAGATGGAAACTTGGAAAAAAACGTCTTGCTCATCTTTTTCATATTAATATTTCAAATAACATGTACATGGAACTTTGGAGCTAAATGGCGACGGCTTGCAGATGAACAGCTTTCTCAAAACTATTTCTACTAATTGTAGAATCCATTTCCATCCATGTGAAACTTTGGAATAAGGCTGATAGTCGATGGAAATTCTTTTCTCTTTCTATGGATCACAAATTGAAGGAACTGGAATAGTTTTATAAACTGCCGCATGAAGTAGCTCAAAATCTTCGTTAAGGGAAAGATGGATGTGCGAAAAGTTTCAGCTTAGACGATTGCAGTGAGGGCTCAGGATTTCGAACTGGGGTGGGGGACGGAATTTTTTCGGGGTGAATTTGCGTGGCGTTAGCCACGCCTCCAAAAAAATTTATGGGATGCTTTTCAAAATTTTGGTTGGCTCATGACGTGGCGGCAGGCATGCCCATGAAAAAATTTACAAGACTAACTTGAATTTTGAAGATTTCTTAAGCTACTTATTTTGATTTTTTACAAGAATAAAAAGTTGTTTGCACATTTTTATAATTC